CTCTTTGATTTAGTTCAAGATGAAGTGACATAAGTTTCAAGATTAGATATTACAAGAGAGCATTCGGATAATAATCGTAGATGTCAAAGTTTTAATGCACTTTTTTGACATCGTCTATGATTATTTTACCCGTTTAGTTTATCTTAGAATTTTTTATTTATAATAAAGAGATATTGTTTGGTATACTATTTTTGATCTTTCTTTAGCCGCATGTTAAGTGAAGTTATAGTTTTTGTTTTCATGTTCTTTTCTACATATCGAATAATTTTGATTGAGAAACCTCAAAACTAATTTAGGTCTATGATGTTGCAGATAATGACTCTCTCCCTCTCCCTCTCCTCTCTTTGAACAGAGAGAGCTGGCCTGAACAAGAGCTTTAATCTCTCCTCATTTTAATAGCGTTATCTAAATTGTCCACAATTTCTCTCATATCACTAATTCTAACAAGTGACCTCTAAGAAAGAACGGTTCGATGCAGTGATGAGAAATGTTGTCCTCCAATAGCTATCTTTCAATGCGGCATTTTATTTCATCATACTCTGTGTAATATCTATAGATTCCGGCATGTCCCATAGATATTCTGGCTGTTCTAAGACATCTCAGTATGCTCTTCAGATATTCAGGTATGTCCTGCAAATATTTCGGTATGCCCTGAAATATGCTGACATGTCCTCAGTATAAGTTGAAATCATCGATGAAGAGGATAATTATTACTAATTAATATAAACTTAAAATTTCTTTCATTTCAATTTTTCCTTCTTCTTTTTCGTTTTCATATAATAACGGTTTGCACATGTTTGAATATTGCGTTAGATAAACGTTAGATAAATTTGTAGTACATACTGTTAAAATTTTCCAAATATTTTGTAATTTCGAGATTTGAAAATGCACTCAATGTATTTCATAACAAAAAATGAAGTGATTTAATTTGGAACGGTAAGTTTTTAGATGAAGTTGACAGAAATATGATGAAAAGAATTAAGCTAACATAAGAGTAATCATCGCTTTTCGGGAGCAGGTTTTCTCCCGACAAGTTTTGTGTTTAAGTAGTGGATGAATTGATTATTTACACAACGTTTTCTTCAAGTTAACTATCATTTCATTGATGAGAATATAAATAAACTATTCCTTCTATAGTGAACTATCAATTTTGTGTCCTTTCTTCTTTTTAAATTCCTCAAACAGCAAACTTGACCTTTCATTTCTAATCTACCATTCAATTTCAAGGCCATAGCGAGTTCAATTAAAATAGGAATTGCATCGACGCAAGGGAAAGGGGGGGAAGCAGAAGGAAACTCACTAAAGGAGATTTCCGGTTTGGTTAAGTAATGATTATATGTTTCATCATCTGGTTAAATGAATTGCTGTTTTTATAATTATTAGTTGAACATGTTGTGCTTAGGATGAAAAAGCCTCGTTCTCAATGAAACGAAGATTGCCTTTGCAGTTCTGTTATCAAATATCAACGATGGAGTAAGGACGAGTTTATTCCATTCGCTTCTGCTAGCATTGATAAGATGACCTGTCAGATGTTATAGTTAAATATTTCTCCTCATTTTCACATTTCTAGCTTTCAAATAGTCTACATCTTTTAATCTTCCCTAATTTTGGCTGTTGATTTCCGCCATATATGAGTCAATCATATCTAGCTTTTAATTAATCTCCTCGACATTATGATTCCATTTATCGGCAAAATTCTAATCAAAAAAAAAAGAAAAAGGAGCGAGTTCCTTTTTCAGAAATTTTTCCTTCAACATAAAAATTATTTATTTTCAAAATGATTCTTTGCATGCTGTTCAAGCATATCTTATTTCAACGATAAAATGTTTATTGGGGTGTATCAATGGAAATTTCCGCTCCAACGCCTCACACACGCACACAACACACACACACATACACACACACACACATACACACACA